CTCTTTCACTGTCAGCCCGAGAGAGCATTCACAAGAATGTTAGCCTTCACAACTAAAGGTCCTTTCCCTTATGTCCCTTTCATCACATAGTTTCCCAGCATGCCCAGTGTTTTAAAAATATTACTCAACTCTCCATTAACCACCCTCTGCAACAATGCCCATTAAAGATATGAACTAACTTCACATTTCCTAAAATATCCCATGGGCACCTCTTGGCAAGGAATCTGCTTGCTTCCCAACTTTGAGAGGCCATGATGAATGAGGAACTGACGACGTCTTGGCATACTGAAGAGCAAACACCACCTTAACGTGACAGCCAAGGGGGTTACAGGGAAGACTGTCCTGTGCCCTGCATTTCTACCTGCTAGGGTTTGGCCACCAATGACTGGGGACTTTCACCGCTGGCTCCTGGAGTAGGGGAGGGAGAAGGAATGTTCAGTTTGTTACTTCTCTCCTATGAGGGCTTTTCAGGCACTGCCCTGGGTGCAGGAAGCTGAAATAGGAGGAAGGGGCTGTCTTCTCCTTGACCTCTCTGGATTCCATTTTGGGGGTACCTCCCCAGCCTCAGCTCCTGGGCCAAACAGCACTGGTGGTGCCAGGCCTGAAGTGGTATAGAGGAGCTGGAACTCCAGGACTTGGGGAAACCACTGGACTATTTCCAGAATGTGAAGGGACCCACCCCTAACAGTTGGGCAGGAAAGTCCTGGGACACAGAATCCTGCTGGTTGACCTGGTCACCAGAGAGGAGAAGCACTGGGCCCTCCAGAGACAGCTGCCGGCCCCTTCAGGCTGGGCTGCAATTCCAAATGTGGGTGCTTAGTTGCACCTGCCAGAGGGAAGTACAGGGGATAAGAGGACAGGGGAGAAAGGTCACCCCAGGGAAGTTGGAGGGGGCTGGAAAGAATCTATTTTCTTTAGGTACAAAGAATGAAAAGGGGAGAACAACTCTTCAGGGGGCCATCCCCTTGTAAGCACATCAATTTCCAAGCTCAAGGACTAGAAAAAAACCACTAGGGATATATCATGTAAGAACTCAGAGAAAAAGATAAAATAGGGCTCATAAATCTTGGAGGTCTTTCTATGGAGCTCTTGGTTTCTGCTTCCTGCACCAGAGGGCAGCAGGTACAGAAAAACAGGCTCATGGGATCGTGGGGTCATCTTTTCGGGGGAAGGGGGTGAGCCCCGGGGAAGCGATGGAAGGTGAACAGCCGGGGACCAAGGAGAGAGCGGCAATACTCTGAGGGCCATGGGGGGCAAAGGGCTGTACCTGGTGGTGAGCTAGCAGCATATGCTTCTTGAGGATGGCCCGCTCGAGGAAGCCCTGCCTGCAGAAAACACAGGTGAAAAGTGGCCCCTCCTTGGGGTGGGTCTTCTGATGCTCCTCCAGGGCTGCCTGGGTGGGAAAGCTCTGGCCACACACTTCACAGGCCTTCCTGCTGCTGCTCTCTCCTGGCTCCTTTCTCAACGCTTCCTGCAAGCTCAGCTCCTCCACTAAGGTGGTACTGGTGCCTTCCCCTTCTGCACTGAGTGCTGACACGGGGCTTGAGCTCCTCTCTGGCTTGCCCCCCTCTTCTGTGCCTACAGACACATCACTGCTTCCCTGTTCCATTGGTTGAGCCTGATCCAGGCTGTCAGATGCTGGGGGTGGTGGCAGAGAAGACTGTTGAGTCGCTTTCTCATTGCTGTCCATCTCCTTCCCAGCTGTGGCTTCTGCAGCTGCCACCGTCCCCACTTCCTCCTCTGCCCCAGATGCCTCTTCTGAATCGCCTCGCACTGATATTGCTTTCTCACCTCCACTCTCGGAGCCTCTCCCTGCCAGGGACTCTTCATCAGTCACATCCTCCTCTTCTTCCTCATCCTCATCCTCCTCTTCGGACAACTCCTCTTCCGGTGATGGCTGCTGGGACTGCTGCTGGGGGAAGCTCCCTGCCCCAGAGACCACCGCAGACTGCTCAGAGCCATTCTCCTGGGCAGCTCCTCCGCCTTCGGGGAGTGTAGTACCACCATTGGGGATCTGGCCCCCCAGGTGCATCCGAACATGCTGTTGCAGAGTGACGGCATTGGTGAACTTCTTCTGGCAGATGGGGCAGGAGTTCTGGGCCCGGGCTGCTGGACTGGCCTTGTGGCCCACAAAATGTGCACGCAGATTGCCCCGCGTGGAGAAGGCCCTGCCACACACTTTGCATTTGAAGGGTCGCTCACCTCCATGTTGGCCATAATGCAGGCGTAGGGCCCGAGGACAGCTCAGCACCCGGAGGCAGATGACACACTGGTTAGGTCCTGAAGAGGCTGAAGGTGAAGGTGCAGGGGCAGATGTGGTGGGGGCTCCTGAGGCAGTAGAGGCCACTGCCACAGCTCCTTGCCGATCAATCTTTTCTACCAGTTGCTGCAGCTTTGATGTCTCAGAGGGTGAGGCCCCCAAAGGCTCTAGCACATAGGGGAAGGGGAAGCTGCCCGTGGACTTGAAGTGGTTGGTAAGCAGTGCCCAGCTGGGTAGCGAAGTCACCAGCTTACTTAGCTGCATTCGGGTTGCTGTGCCACTTTCGGCCACCCCGCTGACGGCTGAGCCCTCACTCCCTGGGGGGGTGTTTTCATCAGCTTTACTCTTGGGCTCTACTGCTTTCATGAGCACAAACTTATTGAAAGCAGGGAGCCCAGGAGCCGTGGCTGTGCCTGCACCTGTGGAGAGCAGAGTCAGGCTCTCGGTGGCACTGAGTGCTGTGGTGGACGCCACCAGGGGCTTGCGTTCCACACCTCCGCCTGGAGTGGCTGCCTCCTCCTCCGCCTTCTCAGGTGGCACAGACATCCCATAGGGCAGGCCACTGCTGGTGATGACATAGTCCAGGTGCTCTGGCACTGGGTGTGGGTTCATCTGCACGTGTGGGTACTTCTCACGATGCCGGTGGAAATGCACTTTGAGGTTGCCACGGGTGGTAAAGCGGTTGCCACAGACATTGCACTTATAGGGCCTCTCACCCGTGTGGGAACGAAGGTGGATCTGCAAGGCGCTGTCACTGCCAAATACTTTGGCACAGAAGCGGCATTTATGCCTTCCACCTGGCTTCTCCAAGGGACCCATCACTTCCCCATAGCCCAGCTCACCACTTCCATTCTTTGGCTTCAGGAGCCCTGGGGAGGCAGCAGCCTCAAGGCCTCGGGCTGCCCCAAGACACTGTGCTGCCAGTAGTCCCGTGGTGCTTGGGAATGCCAGATGAGGTGAGGCAATCAGCTGGTCAGTGCTGCCGGGCAGGGCAGGGGAGGGGGCAGGGGTGGGTTTGTGGCTTCGCCCAACCCCTCCAGCAGAGAAGGGATGCTGTGACCCCAGTGGGTGGTAAAGGTGGAAGAAAGCCTGCTTAGGTGTTTCTGCTCCTGAGGAGGAGGAAGAGGAAGAGGAGGAAGGTGCCAGTGTCTTGCCAGTTTGGACAGGCTTGATAGGGCTGAAGAGGGGTAGCAGGGGCTTGGTGGAAGAGGTGGCCCCGGTTACAGGAAGCTCTGAGGGACTGGCAGAGGCACCCACCGTCTGGCCTAAGGAGCCAAGCAACAGCACCTGCCGGCAGATTTGCTCGGTCATCTGCATCTGATGGATCTGCCTCTGCTGCAACACCCGCAGTTCTTCCAGGATCAGAGGGATGTTCAAGTGGCCGCTGCCTACGCCTGGGGGTGGAGGGGGAGGTGGAGGAGGAGGGGGTGCAGGAGTGGCTTCTGGAGGTAATGGGGTTGCTCCCAGCTTGGGACTGGCCAGGATCAGGCCCCCGCCTCCCCCTGCCGCTGTACCTGTGGCAGCGACCAGGAAATGCCCGGAAGATTCCTCTGCTCTCCGCTCTGGGCCCCAGGTGGGATCCGTGGAAACAGAGGACCCGGAATCCGGGGGGTTGCTGTGGTCTGTGTCCATGACCCGAGGACTATTATGGCCGTCAGGCCGGGGTTCAGAGGAGACCGAGGAGTTGTTGGGGTTCTCCTGGCCCCCGAGTATCACCATTACAGGAGGGTCAGTAGAACATGAGTTCTGGTGGGCGAGGAATTCGGCTGGGTCAGTGAATTGCGCGCAGCACTTGGCACAGACTTGGGGGTGGTCCTCCTCGCTAGCATCGCCTGGAGAGAAGACAAGGAGAGAGTGTGGGTGGTGCGGTCAGCGGTGGGGCTGCGTACACGGGAGCTCCACGGACTAGCCCAGTCCCCGCTGCTTGGGGGTGGGGAGCAGAGCTCACCATCAGGCCGTGCACAAGGCAGAGCTCAGTCCTGGCCCGCCTGCACAGGAGACACCCCACCCCTGCGGGAGGAGGGGGCCAGAGCATGCTACTCCCCTCTTCCACCTTCCCCCGCCCCTCTTTTCCAGGTCACCAGCAAGGAATAGGTGTGAGGGCCGAGGCCTAGGCCGCCGAGAATCAGGCATTTTATCCCACCGACCAGAGTCCTTTAACCCCGTTTGGCCCTTCCGCCCCCACCCGTGCCCGGCCCCGCCCGGCCGGGCCCTACCGCACCTCCGAGCTCTGCGGGCTCCCCGCTGGGCCCCCCAAGACGAGAGCTCTTCCCGGCTTCGTGCGCCATAGCTGGGGGGAAAGTCGAGGGCCAGGTGGGGCTGGAGACAATGGGTATCGGGAGTGGGGGAGGCGGTGGTGGCCGCTGGGGCTGCGGCAGCCTCTGCACCCAGCGGCCGGGACTGCGGAGATGGAGATCGGCGGAGACGGCGGCGGGGGCAGGGTACAGACGCGGAGGGGGAGGGGAGCGAGGAGGCGCGGAGGAGGGGAGGAGCTGGAGCGCGAAAGCTGGGAGAGGGGAGATGGGGGAGGAGCTGGTGGGGAGGGGAGTTTGTCGCGAGGAGCTGGAGGCGGCGGGAGCGGGGAGAGCTAGGGGGTATGTGGGGGCGGGAGACCAGAGCCTGGGAGCATTTCCGGAGGCTCAGTGACAGGTGCTGGAGGCTCGGTGGGGGTCCACCTTTCCTAGTCCTCAGCCTACTCCCCCCCATCCCCAGATGTCTTTGCGGGGGTGGGGGTGGGGTGGGGGGAGGAGCCCAGAACACAGAACATCTACTTTAACACACAGACACCCCCAAATATTCCACGTTTTGTCCCATCTTCCTCACTTCCATTCCCACCCTACCCCCATCCTTCTTCACAAAAGAAGTTTCTCAGGGTGGGCGGCTGCAAGGTAGCATTTCTAAGAAAGTCATTTCAGGACTCTTCCCTGTGGAACACTAAGCCCCTTTACTCCCCGCCCCTCCTCCCCCCAGAATAATAGCTGAATGCAGGCTACTCCACAGATCACAAGGCCAACACCTAATTCGTAGAGTTCATGCTTATTTCAGAAGCCATGTCCCACTTGTCTTCTCTACCCTCTGCCTCCTCTGTTCCCCTTGCAATACTCTGCGCACTGTCACTATTAAGGACGGTGGGTTTGGGGAGATGCTAGCCCTGCAGAGGCCCACCCACCTCTAACCTGGGGGAGGGGAGCGCCTCCTGAAACAATGGGGAAAATGCAGTAGGAGCTGCCAGGAAGCCTCTCACTATCTAAAGCTCTTTTTGCCCTAACCTGGTTCAATGCCTAGAAATGAGTAACACCCGCACACCACCAGAGGCAGCCTCCTACTTAGAGCATGAGCAGGGATAAGATGCCTTCTGGGCCAGTTACTCTGCATTCCCTTTCTACCTAGAAATGAGTCTTAAGAGGTTTCCCACTCCATAAAATTCTCCAGTGTCTATGCAGGACGTTTCTACAAGTCCTTGGTTTTGTTTGCCTGGGCATCGATAAGCTCCCTCTGTTCTAATCCCAGTTCTGTTCTCACCTGGCTGGTAAGTAGAGGCACGCTGGTCCATCACATCGTGCTCTGCCACCATTTCCCTTTCCTAAAGTGGTAGTACTATAGCTGCACTGTCTTCCTCAGAGAAATAGTTTGGGGACCAAAAAAAAAAAAGGAAAACTGTTGACAAATAATATTAATGTAGGCCCATAGGATTTTTTTTTTTTTTAAATTTAGGGAGTCCTTAGGCCAGCAGGTGACATGGGGGGTGAAGACACTGGATTCCCACATGGTCAACTGCAGTTCAAGTCCCAGACCTGGTGGGACAGTCCCACAACAAATAGATAAGTAAATATTTAGGGACCAGCAGATAGTGTAATGGTTACGTTGCTGAACTCCCATGAAATCGACTATGGTTCAAGTCCCAGACCAGGCAGGTTAAAACTCACATTGGGCGCATGTGTGTGCATGCCCAAAATCCTGAGAGGAGAATAGAGGAGAAGGGATTGCAGCATGGCCATCCTCCTGGGGGGTGATTTCTCGCTTTCCATCTCTGTTTCTCTCTGTTTGTCCTGCAAGTGAATGCATCCTATAGCAAAAATCTCTCTAAATTAATGCATAAATAAATGTTTTTTTTTAAACTGGGGGTGGGGGAGGGGAAGCCAGCAGGTAGCATGGTGGTTAAGGGCACTGGATTCTCACATGGCTGACCATGGTTTGAGTCCTAGACCTGGTGGTTTGCTTTCTTGCTTTCTCTCTCTCTCTCTATCTCTCTGTTTCTCACTCTGTCCCTCTCTGGTCAATTAAAAGAAGCTAACAATTTTTTTTTTAATTAAATTTTTCTTTAAAAAAACAAACAAAAACTGGAGGAGTCCTGAATACTATAAATTAGAGATTTACATTGCCACTAGTTAAATAAGCAAAGTGACCTGAAATATACACATGCTAAAATTAGATGTTTTTCATCTTGCTTATTCATCTTATTAATTTCTAAGAGAAGTTTGGCTAATGCCACTGGCATGTGTCACAGGTGGGGAGTATTTGGGAGAGGAAGCTGAAGCAACCTAATTAAAATATTAGTAACATGCACTTTAATTTTCAACATAAATTGTGCCTATCGTCTAAGCTTGAAGACATTTTACTGAATTGTTTTGAAACTCATATGATCATTAGGATCTTAGCACTGTGACTCACAGCTCTGAAACAGAGGGGCTCTGTGCTCCCAGGCCTGACCTTGCAAATGAGGGAGGGGGTGTCTATTTCAATTATGGGAAGTCACAGGTTAGTGTACTGTGGTTTATTTTTACAGATAAGGAAATTGAAGCCTGGAGAGGTTAAGTGACTTTTCCAAGTTCACACAGTAATTCAGTGAAGCAAGCATTCACAATTTTGACTCCGGTCCAATGCTTTGTCAAGCATATCAACATTGTGGGTCTCTCCTAATGCTAGAGAAAGAGCCCTGTGTGCCTCCTACCTGCCGTTTGCTCTCTGGCCTCAGTAAGGGAGAGAGAATCAGATGGAGGCTTTCTACTGAGCATTTGTTAATTAGCATGGAACATTTGATATCCAGTTGCTGTTTTGTCAAGTCTTCTGACAAGAAAAAAAATCCTCTCCTTTTCATCTTCTCCTGGGAAACACTGTCCCCTTTCTTGCTCTTTAATGAAACGTGCTTTCTGATGTAATTGGATCTGCACTCTTCTTTAAGGTAAAGTTAGTCCCTGGTGAAAGGTGACGAATCAACAGCCACCTGTAAGAGGAACCCTTCATTTCTCAGTACCTTGCACTCACTGCCTCTCCTGAAGAGGGGGCAGGATTCTTAAACAGACATGAATGAAGTCACAAAACACAGGAATAAACTAAGCTGGTAATGGTGGCCCTAGATAGCAGATAAGATGAGGTAAGCTATCTTGGGTCACATGCAAAGCCTGGAGTGGATATAGGACTAAAACCTGGAGGTGCGTATTTAAATTGACAAAGGACAAGGAAACCAGGTGGCTTCCCCTCTAAACCTGGTGCCTCATCAAACTGCTGCTTGGGAAAGAATGGCTAGGGAGAACAAAGTGAAATTCGGTAGGTCATGTGCAGTGGGGTGGTATATTTGAACGTTGGCTTTCAAACTTTGCTGCCTATTAGGATTACTGTGAGAACTTTTTTTAAAAAAAATATTTATTTCATTTCATTTATTTATTCAATTTGATCAGAGATCAAGAGAATGCAAGCCTCTAGGTCTGGGACTCAAGCCATGGTTGACCATGTGGAAGTCTAGCACCTTAACCACCATGCCACCTGCCTGCCCCACTGCGAGAACTTTTAAAAATCCGAAATGTCAAGACCAGCATTTGGCGTAATGGCTATGTCACTGGACTCCCATGTAGTCAACTGTGGTTTGAGTCCCGGACCTGGTGGCTAAAACTCACTCTGGGCACCTGTGCGTGCATGCCCAAGATCCCGAAAGGAGAATGGAGGAGAAGGGATTGTGGTGTGGCTCTCCCCCCTGGGGGATGATTTCTCGCTTTCTGTCTCTATGTCTCTGTCTTTCTGGTGAGCGCACCAGCCCTATAGCAAAACAAACAAACAAACAAAACAACAATGAAAAATCCCAAATGTCCAGGTAATATCCCAGGCCAATGAATCCAAAACCCCTAAGGGTAATTCCAATATCTAGCCAAGGATGCAAACCCCGGAATTAGAGGCTTACTCTTATCAAACCTTCCACTCTGTTTGTCACGAATCTTACCTGAGTTCCTCCTGGCCCAAAGTAGGAATAGTCAATGGGATCTGCTCAAAGTGAGCTCTTTCTGCACTGCCCACAACCACGCCTGAGCTCTGGTATCCTCTCCCAGTGAGAAGTCTGCTTCCATGTGAAAGGAATTTGACATCACTTACACTTGCCCCAGCCAGTGGCATTGTTGGTTAAGGCAGCTGGATCCCACATAGCCATCTATGTGGTTCGAGTCCCAGGCCCAGCAGCTTGAAAAATACTCCAGACTTGTGTTCATGCCCAGAGTCCCAAGAGGAAAACGGAGAAGGGTGTGCAGCATGGCCATCACCCCTGGGAGGTGCTTTCATACTTTCCATCTTCCTCTTTCCAGTCAACTCACATACCGTAGAGCAAATTAAAATAATAATTTATACCTGACAGTGAAATTAAGCAACTGTATTGTATTTACCAGGGTATGTACAGTTTGAGTCATTTCTTTTTTCTTTCAGTTAACCATATCTGAGCCATATTTCTCTTTTTCTCTTTATTGAGCCATATTTCTTTTTTTAAGAATTATTTTATTTAACTTCACTTATTTATTCCTTTATTTATTTTAATTTGATCAGAGAGTGACAGAGCGAGAGAGTGAGAGAA